TAGAAACACAAATCATGCAGTGAAACAAGCAGCTCTCCTCAGGGCACTGGAGTCTACAAACGTGTTTGTGGCTCTTTGCCTATAGGAATGAATGGGAGAGAGAACAAACTTCTGCAGTTTCTCTGCTCCTCCAGCTGGCAAGTCACAAACCTCAAGGTTCCTTTCTTGTATCTGACTGAATGATTCACAACTCTTTTCACAGCACATAACTGTGAAGTACTTTTGTTGCAAAAGTGATCCCCTTGTTTTTTAGTGCACACTGAAGAGAGACAGTGACAGGAATGAGAAAAAGATAGACAAGAAGACAAGGTGTGAGTCATGTTGTGGCCTGTACCTCATCAGTAAACAATTCCAGAACAACAGTAAGGGCATTTATTTACATCTTTGCAATGTTACAAGACACCAGGTTGCCCGCGACTTATAGCCATCAATGTCCAGGCTGGTTGCTTTTCTCAAGACCAAGGAAACGTGACTATTTTAGGCAATGAGGCCTCCCCCCATCCTTCCAGTAGGATCAGTTTCTAGCTTCAGCAGCTCCCAACAATAATAGCTTCCTGATGCCCTTTGGCTTTGAGTGTGACACTTCCTTAGACATAAAATTTCCCTGGAACTTTCTAAATGTGTCCTAGGCAGTGTAACTGTCCTTGGATGGTCTAGAAGCCCCTGATCACCACATCACAAATCAGAACTCACACCACCAACCTGGAGCAAAGGCATGGCTTGGCTTCCTAAACAAAGGTTATATACTTTGTGACTGCAAGTGATCATGAGGCCCTTAACAAAAGCTGATGCCTGGCGGGCCCCATGTGCATGGTGTGTCTGCAGCTTTGGATTCCCCCCAGTTCAAAGGCTCTGACTGTGAACTGGGGGGAATCTCCTTCACCCTTCCCCATTCCCCCATTTGCTTGAGCCCCATGCCCCATTCTGCCAGGCTTCCTCCTTTACCTGCTGCTGACCAGGCTCTTAGAGCGCACCAAAACTTCTAGGCAGGCAGATCTGCCCGACCTCACCTTGGCTCCTGCTTAAAAAGCTTACATAGTTTTATGCTCAGGATCACCGTGGAGCCATAGGAGGTCACACCATAGTCTCACCTAGATCTGGCTTCACCAAAGGGATCATCAAGGCCACAGAGGCTCAGGTACTGTGCACCCATCCTTGATGTTCACCTAAATGGTCACAAACTCAATCCTTTGTGGTCCTGGGCTTTCCCATCTCCTGGAATAGGCAACACCTTGCACTACTACATGGGAGAGTTTCCTGCTGTGGGCGCATCTCCCTCTTACAGGGACATTATAGTGGCTTTGTCCTGTGCTGTGGCAAGCGATAACCATCAGTGTCACGGTGAATTACATGGACAGAGATGCTATCCGGAATGGAGTACCACCTAGCAAGCATACTGCCAGAAGTAGGAGTGCACATTTGGACTCAGAAGAAAATGTTGTTAAACCATTCTTTCTGGTGTATCTGAGTGGCTGCCTCCTGGCCTCAGCTGCACCAGATGGCATCAGACATGCTGATGCAAGTGGATGGCGGGAAACATTAGCTCCCTAGGATGTTTAACTATTTTTTGTATGAAACTGGCCCTTTTTGCCTCATTACACAGAGGAAGGACATGATGACAACAACTGCTTCCTTCCTTCCTGACTTGAGTCATGGGGGTTCTTATGGCTGGGCTGGAGAATGCTTTCTTTGTCATGCCACCTTGAGTTGGAGATCCCTGAGGATGGGAGATTATCTTTTCTTTTCTTTCTTTCTTTTTTTTTCAGAGCCGGGAGGGATTGAACTCAGGCCCTTGCACTTGCCAGGCAAGTGCTTACTCTACTGAGCCATCTCCCCAGCCCTGGGAGATTTTCATATTTTCAGTCAAATCTCACAGTCCTCCCAGTAACTGGTAGTCATGGCAGGGTTAGTGCAAAAGCCATTGCTATTCCCCCAGGAGGCCCTTTGCTTGAGCTCCTAGCACTAAATATTGGTTCCAAGCCACAAGGAGCCTGCAAACCTGGTCAGATAAGCTGGGCTAAGACCACGGATAGCAGTGATGGGACGGTGGAAGAGTGTGAATACCAAGATATGTGTTAAGCCAGTGTTTGCAGATCAGGGCCTCTTGACAGTGCTGATTGAGGATGACAAGAAGATGGCAGCATGCACAGGGTGTGGGAGGCAGACACTCAGACACACCTACAAAGAAGGAAAGAAGCAGTTGAGAGTCACCGAAATTCTCCTATAAAATTAGGTTATGCAAGTACTCATAGTTTTTGAAAATGGATAATGGGAATATTGTGTTTGTGTACTCTTTTCTCTATGATAATGGGCTCACACCTGAGTGCTTTGCACGCTTTGGTCAGCCCTGATTCTCTCTGCTTCCTTGGGGTATAGGGAGGTATCCACTTAGGGCCACTGTTCTCCTGCTGTGTCAGCTCCACCGGCTGGTATATCCCTGACACCACAGTATGTGGGAGGCAGCTGACTAGAAAGACCTAACCCTGATGTGCATTTGTCTGCCACAGCCCAGCACTCTGCCCCATCTGACCAGGTGCAGAGCAGCCTCATCCACATGAATGGCACCAATGTAGGGTCCACACATTCCTGGGAATTTCCTTTCCCAAGAAACCTTTAGAAACACTGCAGTTTTCACCATGTGAGGCCTCTAAATCCTGGAGTGGTGTGAGAGATAGGACCTCCCACCCTGTCAGGTAACCTTTGGGGAAAGCTAGGGAAATTCAGACTCAGGGGAGGGCTCAGGTGCTCTGAGCTCTGGGCCAGCCTGCAGTGACTCTGCCATCGGAACCTCGCAGCCTATTTTCGTCTGCACTGGAAGGATTTCAGTGAGAATGATAAAAGTCAAGAGAATGCAGGAACAATGACAGTCACCCATATCTGGGCTTGGCACCCAGAGGGCATTAGCCCTTTGTCCTAAAAAGAAGAACAGACACATCTGTCCTCAGATTTTCACTGTGCCAAGTATTCTCTGCCACCAGGGAAGGTGTCTCAAGAGAGGTTATGGTTGGCTCCATGAACTTGTAAGAAAGTCTGGCTCCAGCATCAGATACTGAAAGTGCCCAATGAGGATAGAGGGGTAGCCTCTTGGGGACCCACCTTCACAGAGTACGTCAGCTCACAGAGCCAGATGCCATTTCCCAAGCCTCAAGTCCATGTTATTAGAAGTGGAGACTCTGTGGGAGGACTGTGAGTTTCCCTAACAGTCTCAGGATGGAGTACACCCTACTGTTCTTTGGAAAACAAACTTCCAATCCCACATGCAACACCTGTGTAGGCTCCTCCTCTGTTCAAGAAGAGATGGTTATAGAGATACATGGTGAATGTCAACACCTAAAGCCAATGGTTATGATTTCCCAACTGTGGGAGGAGTGCGGATGGAAGAACTTCATCAACTTTGAGCCCTCCCTGGAAACCTGAACTCCATTCTAAAACCCCTGCCTGTGGTCCCTGGATTGACAGAGCCTTGAGGGAAAGATCATGTGTGGCAAGACAGCAGAGGGAGCAGAATGCAGAGTCTGGTTTTGTTCATTGCAGAGCCCTTGGACTAATTGTCTACCCTTGTCACCAGGTGTCTGAAAAATGCTGGAGCCCTGATGGTGTTGTCAGACTATGCTTCCCATCCCCATATTTGAGGATTTCTTGTACCTCAACTTCTACATGCCTGCAGTGAGGTTTAACTTACCTTTAAAAGTCAGTGCTACACCACTGGACTAGCAATTGCAAGGTTCAAGTTAAAGCATGAGGAACACACACACACGCACACACACACACATACACACACACACACACACACACACACACACACACACACACATTGAAGGATAAAAAAGATTAGAAGGGACCAGATCCAAGATGGCAGCCAGCAGAAGGCTGAGGAAGGAACGTGAAGAGATCTGCAAAAGTGGAATGAAACGTATTTCACTGATCTTATCAGACCCAGAAGCTACAATTCTTGTTGCATAGGTCTTGCTTTATCTTGGTCTTAACCATCCAGCAGAAAAGTATAAAAACGAAGTATAAGAAGTAAAACCATGCTGTTATGTTGAGATGTAGGGGACTCAGGTAAACAATTTCTGACATTGCCAGTCAAGTGGAAGAGCCAATACTATTATGGACTACTGGACTCTTTTAGAATATTTTGCTGTTAACACACCTATAATATTCAAATGACAGAACTAAACAACAAAGGTGATACAGATGAATATCCATTTTGTATCTGGTATTGAAAGTGGTTAGGATCAAGAAGATTATGGGGCCAAAGAGGAAAGTGATCAATGACGTAGAGTGTGCCTAAGTAGTGTCACATGGGGAGAAGACACTCTCTCAGGCTTTCACAGAGAACATGTTGGCCAAGCAATGGCCGTGACTCATCCACATGGCTGCACTGACAAAGGTTCTACAATCTGAGGTACAGGATCTCAGGATAA